CAACCTCCGCCAGTGATGGTAGCACATATCCACAGCTCGCCACCATGTGCTGTATAGAAGCTGTAAAGGTTGGGAATGATTCGTTCAGGATATCTGCAATTTTTCCTTTACATAACAAAGAACGCCTAGCCCCCTTTATCTTCTTGAGGTTCACGACTTCTTTAGGAAAAAGAACCTCAAAACAACGCAGAGAGGTGTTCCAAATGAAGTAGTTTTCCCCACCTTCAAACTCAATAACCAACAACCCCCCGGGCTTGAGGATCGCATACATGGCAAAGACAGCTTGTCTGATGTCTTCATGGGGATCACAGGAATCATCTAACCAACGTGAAACATGGTATATTGAATGTATGGCAAGCACCCTATCTTGTTGTTCTTCAGGATATGCTCCAATGGACTTCAGCTCTTCCACAGACTTCCCGAAGTAATCTTGGAACCGTCCAGAGTAGGCCACATCCAGAGTAGCATTCTCCAAGTTCTCAATACATCCCTTGTACTTTTCTAAGGACTCTTCATGAGGTTCTTCCACGCTGACGATGGCATCTTTGTTCAGGGCTTGGAGTGTTTTACAAATGGCTGACATGGGGGTTCCTGAACCTCCCCCAAAATCCATAATTCGGACTGTTGAAGGCAGTTCTGATAGGTTCAGGATGTTCTCTCGAATGGTATCAAAGTCCATTAAGCCGCGTTTCTTGCCTTCTTCCACCCTGAAAAGTTATGGAGTTGAAATACTTCATGAATAAAAATAAGAAATCAACAAATGACAAACAATTAATTGATTCATTATTAAATTACACCTACCCATTGTCGATAATGGTTACACATTTGTTTAAAGCCTCAGCATTGGTCAAGGAGCTGAACTCTTCTTCCAATTTACGCCGTATCTCCTGTTCATCTCTTTTTCTCGTCTGGTAGCTGGCTGCCATGGGAAATACTGTGTGCTGGCTGATAATTCTTCCAAAATATGCTGAGATACACACTTCGAAATTCCAGTTCAAACACTTTGTATTAATGTCTACTCTATTCAACTAGTGAAATGTTAAGGCATCTTCAACCCGCAATGTAGACGATATCCTGAAACTATTTTCATTCCATGTATTGCCCGTTTCCTGTTTCCGGTGGTGGTACTTATAAAAAAACTTCAAAGCACCCTTTGTTCCATCATATATATATATATATATATATATATATATATATATATATATATATATATATATATATATATATTAGATTAGATATTTTATTTGATAAATCAGCCAGGAAAACATCCATCAGATGATCAGTCGCCACGTCTATTCAGTTACAATAATTATTACCATGCAGTCATTTGATATAGACAGATTCAATAGTATTTAATTTTTTTACCTCTCATAATAAGTATATAGTGTTCCAATATCATTAAAGAGACCATTTGATATTCTAAGAAACAATGAAGAGGAATGGATAATCTCTTGCTAGACAGGTTTTATATGATACATGCTTTAAATAACAGTGTGAAGTTCATTTGTGGAGTTTTAACCACACTACCTTAGAAAACGAACCAAAGACATCAGACAAAATAAACACTGTTTATTCTTTGAAAATTACTTCTGTCATACAACAAAAAAATCCTTTATACATATGGTTTACAGGCACTCTGAGTTTACTACTTATATTCTGATTATAGATCCATTTAAAAGAAAACAAGGTTCCAGATTTATCACAGATTTCACACAATTTCTTGGATAATTATGACAATATAAAGCATAAAAAATGACATAATAAGCAATGGTGATGATTTCATAATGCACATAGCTGCTTTGGAAAGAAAGACATAGGCAGACATGAGCCTAAAAACAAAACTCTGAACATTTATCATGGGACCCAACACCTAGCCTTAAGGGATTTCAGAAAACATCAGAATTGAATTTAAAAAATGCAGAATTCTACTTTTCTGGGGAATAGGCTCATGTCTGCATTGGAGCCATTTTTACATAGTTTCAGGCATTCTTTTGGGTCAAAATCAAATTTGGGGGCAAAGTTAAGGAAACAATATAATATAACAACAAAATAAGTGACAAATAAGCTATATAATTTCTTTAGAATGAGGCAACTTAAAAATATATGAAACCTGGAAGTGACAAAAAAAATTAAATTAATCGAGACACTAACCCACATACAAAACCCACCGGCTTTTGTGCTCATGTCAGCATCGAACAAAATTTCAATACTAACGATGTAAAACTGTAAACCAAAACATGTACAAGGCAAAGCAAGTCAGAGGGGTGGATTTCTATACAGGGTCTATTAAATTTAAATGCAATAATAATAATTAGATTAGAAACTCACTATTCAAAATAAAGCAACCCATACTGGGAATTATTTGAGAGCCTAAAATGTGGCCCTCCTCCTGACCATATTAAACTGAAATCCAGTAGCCATTTTTATCAATTTCACCCAAAAGAAAGTCAAGGAACTACCCATCTCTTTGGAACACTGCAGATAATTCAAAGGTTACTCAAGTACCATTATAGCACCTTGTCCTCATACCTTGTAAACAAAGTTTTTGCTTCATAACTTCTATTTAGTTTAAATACATCTTTGAATATATACCTTATCCAACTCAAACATTTAAGTAGTTTACAAATTACCTCAAAAACATAAAATCAATAAAGATAACATTACCACTTGTAAATAAAATTTAAAACACCTCCAACAATACTTGAATATGGCATAAATCTTGTGTAACGAGTTAAAACTATCATACACATATCGTTTTGTCACATTTGAGCACCAAATTTTTGATATCTTTTCAATTTATATTTAATATGAGAAATACACATAAAATTTATCCCATGGTGATATTAATATAGCTTGGAAATTCTTTGAAATGTTTACATTATCACACTTTTCATGCTGACATTTCATTTATTGTCAAGCACCTTTTTTGATCTGTCTCATAATTACCACCTCTCTCTCACTCTCTCTCTCTCTCTCACACACACACACACACACACACACACACACACACACACACACTTCTCTCTCTCTCTGTTATTTATAGGTAGACAACATTTACTGGTGAATATTAAATGATGACAAATATTGCAGGCACTACTTGCCCTTTGTCACTCACAACACGGAATCGAACATCTGCAATTTCAAATAACACCCATGTCTCTGAGTGCAATATAAGGTATCAGCCAGTAGAGAATATGTTTACTTATTAAAGCTGTTTAAGGCTGCATGTAATGGGATATAAATTTAGCTGTGCTGCAGAACAAATGCAAATATTTGCCTCATGTTTAACAGTTCCTTTTCCTTTTTTGTAAATGTCACAGAAAGTTGATATCAATAACGGAAACTAAAGTCCTTTTAAATATATCTGTCTGCTTGGATAACTGAAAGCATGGCAATAATGTAGAGTCAAAAATCCAGTATTGCTTCTATATCCCAGCCTGGCTGATTAATCTAAAAACACCATAATGTAACAAATAATTATTCTAGACAAATGGTAATATTAATCAGCCAGGTTTAGAGAGAGAGAGAGGTCCCAGATGTCAGGTTCAAATCTTAGGGGCACTCTTGTCCACAGTGACGGTCTTCTTCAACCCTCCCTTGCTGAAGCTGGTGATGGAGCTGAGCAGTGCACCCCGGCCACCGGAGGAAGGGGGTGGGGTGGACGCCGCTGCTGGGGAGGGTGGAGGAGGGGGTGCACCCCCCACGGGAGGAGGTGGTGGTGGTGGTGGTGCTGAAAGTAAATAAATGGAACATATGATCATATATTGGAGAAAAGAATTCCAAATAAAACTGCAATTAATACACTTGAAATTTAACATTATAAGGCAACAAGTACATAAGTTTTAGATAAAACATTTCTGATAAGTTCAAAAGAAAGCTAAGAGCCAAAGAGTGTCAATTCCTAATTCTAATCCTAAGCACAGACTACTGTTACAATGATAAAAGCATAGATATATTTTCTTCTTTTCTCATAAACATTGTATTAATATATTACTTACATCATTAGCTATAGTACTTCAATACTGTTAGACTAAGTGTACTATAAGTTTTGTATACAAGGGTTATATTATACAGAAGTTTCATGGCTGTGCTTGTAGTAACTGAAGGAAAACCATGAATCCTATCAACCAACACCATTATATAGACTTAAACATGATACCCATATCTTCCTTGATACCCGAGTAAAGAGCAAAATATGCCTAATATCTGTTACCAAATATAAACATTTTCACTTCATAGCCTGTAAAAGTACAGCTACCACAACCACCACAGAAGTGAAAATGAAAGTGAAAGTGATTAACCCTTATGAACCCTTAATACCATCAGTTTTCCTGGGAGAGAAAGGGTTAAAATGGTTGATATTCACGAACAGTTAAAACAGCTGCTCCCAGCACATTATATCTTTACTGGTGCCTAATGTTAGAAGGTTTGTGTTAATTTGCCACCACATGCTTATTTAAAATACACCAGGCCCATACACAGGAAGGAGGGGGAGGTCTTAAACATAACTCTCTTTTGGCTAGAAAAGGTAGACTCTGAATCCAAAATGGATCTAGATTTTCTGTCACTTCTCAAAACTAAGCTGTTATATATAGAAATATGTTAAGAAGAATTTAGAAATTCTGGACAGGGATTTGGCCCCCAACATGCATGCATGCATGCCCACCAGCACCTGTCTGCGATGTTCACCACTCGTCCAAAGTAACAGTCGCAAATAAACAACCTCAGATTATTCAAAGTCACTATCAAAAAGCGGAACAACAGTGCCAACCATGATTATCTGTTTGAGAGAATAGCAGCACTCGTTTTAGATAAAATGACCCATCATCTTCAGATTTCACCCTTGGATGTTAATTGGAAAAATTTTAATTCAGACTAGTAATGTCCCCCCACCGAGACCTGTTAGTCCAAGCCACCAGTCTGGTGAAGAGTTAACAAACCAGACTGCTGAACTTTGATGGTTAGTAAACAACACTACAGATATCAGGGTGAACAAAACCAACCTCTTGAGAGAAGTCACTATCTGTCTTAACGTTAACCATTACATTCATCTGTAAAAGCAAACAGGGAAATCAATCAATCAATCAATAGCAAATCAAAGTTCTATGAGCTTCTGCAATCCTTTAAATTTAAGTATTAGTTTTAATGTTATAAAACCTTCAGTCAACATTAAAACAAATGTGCATAACGCAAGAAATGAATAGGCTCTTTCATCATTCTTCTCAACAAAATCACTGTAATGTTATATGTCAGTATAGTTAATTTTTTTCTCAATACTGTAACAATAATCAATAGATTCATATGCACCTAAATCACATCACATCTATCTGAATATTTACTGATGTAAGTATAGTGTTACATATAAAGCAGGGAATGCAGCTCAGAATACATTTATAAAAGAAAGATATATTTAAAAAAAAAACGTCATCTAAAACTAAAATCTTAGAATCATCCTATAACAAAATAATGAACAGGGGATAACCTCAAACACAGTAGTCTAAACTCACTTCTAAAACTGGTAAGAATTCAGTCAATTATTTATAAACCAACAGGCGTCAACATCAAATACCACACTCAATACTGTAGGGCCTTGTGTTTTTTTTCTCCGCCCAGATAGAGTATAAAAGTAAAACCATTCATGTAACTGGTATATAGCAAGGAAACCCTCATGCAGCTTGCATGCATATATATGACACCAATCCGTCATACCGAGAACATGTGGAACATGTTCACAGAGCACTGCATGACCAGAGTTCTAAACCATTGAAAACTTGACAAAACATGCTACAGAGGTCCACTGGCAATTTTTAAACATTCAGTGGTATTTCTTTTATCATTAAGTGCTTCCAGTAATAAGGAGATTTTTTACCTCCTTGCATTTTGGTTAGTGCTAGAACGGATAACAGAAATACCTGCTACTTTTAAATGAGAATTGAATTCTTTTCCCCCTTTTTTGGTAGGTGGGGCTAGTGTGGAATTAAATACAAATACTATGATATCTGAACAGATGCCACAGTTTCAGTTTCATCCTCAAGTACAATGAGGTGTAGGCAAAATAAAGAAATATAAAAAATTACTTAATGCATAAGCAATTCATATAATTATCAAAATTTCTGATCACTATGTGAGACTGATTAAATATTTTAGGTAGAAAAAATAATAATTTGCTACAGCTGCTACCAACATGTACTTCTGGGAGAAAACTATAGCTGGAGGCTACATGCAGAGTTCTAGATATAATGTAAGTAAAGAAACACCATAACATACAGTAAAGACAGGCCCCTATGTGGACAGACTAGGACATTATTTTACCTACTCACTTGTCCTTGAATATTGAAAGACATTATAAAGAAATCAAGAAATATATTCCTTTCAGTTTTTTGTGATTTTTTCTCTTAAGTTACTGGTTTGTTGAAAAAATACAATTTATATAAAAAAAGAAATACTTGTCAATGAAAAACACTAAATCCTGTAGTTTTAAAAGAATTATGATGATTTATAAATTCTAGCTACATGTCAGACACTAGGGTTAAACTGCCTATTTTCTATTATCAATTAGCAAAACAAAATAAACAGTTAAAAACTATTCTATCTAGCAGAACATTATTACCATTACAGCATATATAATTTTTGAGCTAAAAACTCATTTCATAAAATATACATACAATATGCAGCCAATAACCAAGCTTGCAAAATCCTCAAATTGATCAAAATGTATTTTACTTTCAATGTCAGTAAAAGAAGAGATTGAGTCAAAGAATGCCAACTTAAAAGTAAAAAGCCCCTTGAACCTCCACTGAAATTCCCATCTTAAAAATGATTAAAAGCAAGAAAACCTGAAGTTTTTTTTATATATTTTCAAACATACATGTGGAAGGCAGGGAATAAGTAATAAGTATGAAAGCTCCCATCCTTGACATAACCACACCCCCTCCCAAACTTTCCTTGCCCAACGTGCATCCATGTGTAGTAGCTCTCAGTATGAAGCAAGAGTGCAGATCAAAAAACAAGCTCATAGCCAGGGGGGGTTCAAACAAACTGCCTTTTTTATCAGGAAAAGGTCCGCGCTGGCTAATACTTGATCTGGGTACAATTAAGTTTCATTGTAAAAGGTCTACTTTTTAGAAATTACTGGCTAAGGGCTTAACCTATAAAAATATAATAATGCCAACTATGGACTCCCTCATCCCTCATGAAGTCAGTCCCCTGACCTCTGTACTCACCAGGAGCAGCTGGTGCCGTGGGGGCCGTGGGGGCTGTGGGAGTGGCTGGTGTAGAGCTGGTACTACTAGGACCTGGACTTGTGGGAGGATTACTGTCACGCTTGCTGCTACCACTGCCCTCTTCCGAGTCTGCCAGGGATTTCTGTGAAATAGGAAAATAAAATTTAACTTCTGTCAGGGATTTCTGTGAAATGAGAAATAATATTCGAATTTGGTCGGATATTATTATTCTGTGCAGTGAAAAAATAGAAATTAACTTTTGTCAGGTATTTCTGTGAAAGGAGACATAAAAGTTAACTTCTGCCAGTGATTATTATTCTGTGAAGTGGAAAAATAAAATTTAACTTCTGCCAAGAATTTCTTTTTTGTGAAATGAGAAACAAAAATAAATTCTGCCAGAGATTTCTTAAAATTAAAAAAAAAAAAAAACTTTTGCCAAGGATTTTAGAAATGATGAAACAAGCATTAAAATTTGCTATGCACTTCAGAGTATTAATAACATGCAACTAACATTCTTTTTAAACTCAACTGGCATTCTTTTTAAACTACCTTTACATATTCACTTTTTAAACAATAAAATTCAAAGGGTCGTCTATTTCATAGTTTATAAAGTAACACTGAACCTTTAAAAACTTTGGAGGTATGTGAGAGTGAAAGATACCTTTTTATTTTTCCTCCTCTTTTTCTTCTCTTCCTCTGACATGTGGAATTGTTGAGCTTTGGATCTCCTCCTCACTGTGTGGATCTGCAAGACAACCAAATAAGTAATAAGAATTTAGTATAATGTTTTAAAACATCGTCTTTGGTCTTTCAGATCCTCTGTCCTGAATTATCAGGGTATGACCTTTTCCCACGTGGTCCTCCTCCATTCTTGTCTAAAATATTTATAGGATCTGTATCCTATCTGCATTAAATAAATAATGTCAAAAAAAGAATCAAATGATGAAAATTAAAGCTGCCGTCGTATAAAAATTTGAAGTGTATAGTTTAAGAACATTTGATTCAAATTTAATAAGATATTCATAATCCCCATGGACATTTTTATATAAAATTGATAAAAAATTTTTAACAGTTTGATGTGCTCCACATCATAAGAGCTAACAGATCTAAAACCTTTGCCTTGGATGCATCATTCACCTTTCTAACATAATCTAGTCCCATCTTGTGGGAATGGTGTGAAGAAAACCAGAGTAGAAAGCCTATTCTAGAAAGCCTAATCTTCTAATGTTTACTAGAATCAAAACTGTTCAAAGAAATCTCATACCGCCTTTTGTTCTTCCTTCAGCCTCTTCTCCATTTGTTCTTTGGCTAGTTTGATTGCCTCTTTCAGTTTACTGGGAATCTTCACAGCTGGTTTATCTGTACTGGGGAGGTGCACATCACAGAACAGCCTAGAAAATAAAATAATTACTAAAAATATTTACTTTGAAAATCATAACACCAGTATTGCAATTGCCAAGTATACATTTAAATTATTTATTTATTTAGCATCAAACTTTTTGATGTTCTGATGTCATTAACATGACAAATACAAGGTCTAGAAATTTTTAAAAAACCAGTAAGTCTTTTAATTAAAAATAACAATAAACTTTATTTCAAGTGGCATATTTTTAGCATGAAACTGAAGTTTTCCTCAGTTCATCAGGTGTATCTACTTACGTGTGTTGTAGCAGATCTGTCACAGATGGTAAACCATTCTTACAGGCTTCCTGTGTCAGTATGCTCTCCAACACTGACCCTGGAATATAGAAGAATAGATGAAAGAGGCGCTGAACCATCAACCTTTTCATCAGGCAAAACAAAATATTCACCTATAATGTCCTAATAGACTTCATAATTATGTACATGGAGCCCATTGCATCCTTTACATATCAATACATAACACATATCTGATAGATAGTTCCTACAGTACTAACCCCAGCTTGTTGACATGATTACTATGAATACCAAAATGCACTGACTGACCAAAAATATTCAAGCAGGTTCTAACACAGACATCCTGTGATCAACTTCCATGGGTCATAATGCTTTTATAGAAACATTACTGAACCTTTGTTCATGTTTTTGGATACCCCCCNATAAAAATTCAGTCGGGGTCGAAACTCCCCCCCCCCCCCCCCCCCCCCGACACATGTCTAGTCACACTGTGTCCGAACCCAATCCATGATATGAATACACTCCATATCTCCAGCGCCTACACAGGACATATACATACAGAGAGCACCACAATGAATATCTTACTAACATAGCACCACTGTGAACATCTTACAGAATGATTTTCACTGTAAAGTTGTACTGGGCACAAGTCTACTTACTGACTTCTGGGGGCAGTGAGGGAGGAAAGACATCACAGGTTGGTGAGCCCAACTGGACCCCAGTGGACAGCTCATACAATAACTGACCAAAACTATACACATCTATAGATTCTAGGGTCTGAAATGGAAAGATTGAGAGAAAAAGCTGTCATTACGTATATATTTTTTACAAAATAATTCTAATTTGTAGATGTGATTCCTAATTGATTTGAATGATGGGAGTACATTTGAATGATGAGAGTACATTTGAATGATCTGAGTAAACTGTACCTTAAAATACTCACATTTATTTTTTTAAACTGTGTATAATACGGTCTGTAATATGCTGGCAATCCCAGAAACCAGTTCTCCAGTTCTGTAAGTTTGCACTTCCCATCATGCAATAGAATGTTTCCTGCGTGTAAATGACCTGGAAATCAGAGAGGGAAAATATGAGACAGTGCTTTTGGAAACAAGTTCATGAGCTGTGAGTAAAATCAACAGTTCTTTTATTTATTTATTTTTTTTAATTTTCAAATCATTTGTAGTGTTTGGATTTTAAAATAGCACTCTACAACACTGAGCTCTCAACTGTCTTTTATTTTTATAATTTTCAAATTATCTGTAGTTTTTGGTATTAAGTGTACTCTGCAATCCTAAGCTCAGATAAATACCCTTTGCACAGTATATACTCATCATCTCTTTCCTGCACTCTATATATTTCCTCCCTCTTATGTCTGATGATAAAAAAAGAAGATAAGGGCAACTGCGCCTGCCTCCCCACCCCCCACCCCCTTGTGAACTTGTGAACTGGTGCAATTGGGGTTTTGGGGTCATAAAAGGATTTTCACTTCATTGCCCCTTACAGAGACCAATACTCACCATAGGGCACCCCTTTATCATGTAAAAATTTCAAGGTTTCTAAAATCTGTCTTCCGAATAACTTCACATCTGGCAACTGCATAAATATTCTTGTTTTTGGATTTCCATACTTTTTGAGACAGTGGCCTTTTGGCTTTGCCTGCAAATCATACAAAGTCAATAAAGATGAGAATGAATAATGGATAATAAGACACGAGTAAAAAACAACGTGGATCATCAGCATAACTACATTTTGAAAAATACTTTAAAATTGTTTGACAAATGTGTGTACAATAAAGATGATAACAATATCTTCTAAAATATTGTGATAAAACATCCCTATAAAACAGCCCTTTACAGACTGACACTTGAAGAAGGCTGGAGTGACAGCACATAACGTAGAACGTTTGGTGAAAACTAAATATATTTCATTTGTGATTAAACTATTTCACTAGCTGCTACAGGATTAAAAAAACTGTCTTTGACATAATTTACTCCACAACATATTCCATTTCTTCTTTTCACGTTTATTACCACAGCCATATAAATCACTTTTTCCAAATTTCTTTCCATCTCTTACCCTACATAAATTGTCCCTAAATGAGCCCTGTTCATTGTAATGTCTAATTGTCAGTCCTCCGCTCTCATTGGCATAGCCAAACCCCACTGGATAGATATATGGATGCTACAATACATAACACAACTGAATTGAACTTCTGTTTATATATAGGGTTCCTATAATCTCAAGTTATATACAAAATCAATAGTTTGAAATATAAAATTTATTACAAAATGAAGGATAAATATCTGCAGATAAGAGAAGATTTTAACCAAATTGTTAACAGACACAATTCTGCCTATGGCTATACATCTACTTTAAAATAGATTAAAGAACAGAAAGACAGACTTACTTGAAAATTGGAAAATAATTTGAATATTGCAGTCAGGTCTTTGTCCTGTAAAAACTTGTCAGGGCCATAATTACACTAAAAGATATAAGTGAAAAGTCAAAATACAGCAGTGTATTTTATTTCATATGTGAAATTATATATATATAAATATATCACTGTGCTTCTTAAATTCTAAGTAATGAAACAGAAAAACCATCTATTTATCATTTCTGATTCACTTGACTTTCACATTTTCATTTTTGGTAGATTGCAAATTTTCTTAAAACACTGATAACAGGCCCGTAGCCAGCAATTTCAAAAGGGGGGTTCTTTTTCTGAAAAAGTGGACCTTTTCCCATAAAAACGTAATATACTTAAATCAATTTTTACCCAGAGTGGACCTTTTCCCAGCAAAAGGGGCGGTTCTTTCGAACCTCCCGAACCCCCCCTGGCTACCGGCCTGGATAAAGACAGACCTTAAAAATCCTATAATGCAAGCACGTAAGGTACACAGCCTCGTATGGTGGAGGGGGAGGGGGTCTGGAGGCATAAATACAACACCCATATGCCTGGATTCCTAGATAAAACCTGGAAGACTTTCATCTTTGTTAAAAGTTAAGGAAATATTTCCTCAGCCAGACTTACCCATGAGAGTACTTGCTTCAGCTTGGGCTGATCTGCACATTTCACTAAGAAATACTGCTTCCTTATCCTCCAACCTAACAAAGTGCAAACAAAGGACACAGGTTTACCAGTGGGGCTCTTTTATATCAAAATGTCAATTAAAATGTTCAGACAAACTTATACAAGATTCACCAGAGAATATTTTTTATAATTATTTAGTGTTTATTAATCAGTTTCATTATTTTTCTTGTTCTTGATTTATCAATTTAGCAAAAGATTGCAAATATGCTAACACTACTGCTCTGTAAAAAATGTGACCTTTAGTAAGACATGCTTGTATGCACTTATGAACACATACACGTGCACACATCTCACATATACCTATGTCAGGGAGAGGTTCTATGACTTCATATTTTGGTTCTGATCTAAAGAACATAGAAACATGCTGCAGTGCCTCCTCTGGAAATGAAAAACTATTTGTAAGCAAAAAAAATCCATGTCTTTTTTACCAAATGCTTCCAAAGTGCACAAAATCCTTTGTGTTTCTTTTATATTTCAAGAAGTGTAAAATATTATAGTATACTAGGGGGAAATCACTCAATCTTAATTTCTATTAAACTGTCTAAATGATAAAATATTTGATATTAGTCTACCATCAAGCTTCAAAGAGAAACATCATTTATTTCACCTTGAAAATTCCTCGAATAATGTCCTTCATCCAAAAACCTCTTGGTAAATGCACTGGATGCTAAGAGAAGATTCCTCAGAATGGCTTCCAGGTAGGTCTAAAGGATACACAAAATATCAGTTCTTTGTATTTAGGAATATAAATTATTTGTTATAACTTTTTCTGTAAATCTACAATATTTCAACAAATCTGATTTAATGCATCTGAGTGACATATTTAAATATTACAATATCGTAGATTTAGAAAATGGTCAAGTGTGGAACATTCATTAATTAGCTTTTAGTAATAAGTACAATGGCACAAGATTAAACAATTTTTCCTTATTCAGTCATATACATTTGACCTTTTTTTATTAAATTTACTTAACCTTACTGTACCTGTAATCCATTCTTTCTGTCTGCTACAAATTCTCTGTCAAAATTCCCAAACACTTTCTTTGGGGGCAGTGGTAGGTCAATATTGGCAGTCTTAAGACACGTGTCCAGAGCTACAAAGTCGCTGTACCTCTTGTTGACTGTCCATACCTTCTCTGCTGCTATCCCTCTCTGTACCTTGATCTCATATGACTGAAATACAGAAAAAGAAATTTAGATCAAGAAAGAAATTTAGGTTCTCTTATAGAGAGACCACAAAATGAAGAACTTTTTTTTTTTTTTTGCTTCAAAACTTATTGGGTACCCTGTAGACCCAACACTAGCATGTTCACGATAATGTCTGTTGATATTTATTTATTATGAACATGTACAGTGTATTAGCCTATGTATTAGCCAGTGTATTTGCAGTCATAGCATGGTTAACTCGTGCAAGCTTTCTATCATTTTAAAAATTTATATTTTCATATACTGTATCTGTCAGTCTGGATGTTGTTTTCTTTTTATCAATTCATTAACCTGTTAAATTATGTTATTTGTTCATTCATATATTAATCTCTCTGTTTGTTTGTTTGTTTGTTTGTTTGTTTGTTTGTTTGTTTGTTTGTTTGTCCACTGTGATTTGGGTGTTGTGGCCAAAACAAAAGATAAACTTTTTTTGGTGGGATTGGCAATGTTTAAAAGTTCCATGGTAATTTCAGCTGGGGTGGGGGACACATAAAATGGCTTGATCAACTCATAACTGAATGGCTGTTCAAGAGTTCAATACGCAAAATGAAGCAATAAATCGATTCCAAACTATATCACATGAGGTTGACACCGCTGTGTTCTATTTTTAGAAAATCAATAGCAATTATGTTCACTGTAAAAGGGAAAGTCATTTGCTTTTGCCTAAACAAAAGTGTTTATTGTACATCTACAGTCGTTACCCCTTTTAAACGACCATAAATTAATAAAATTACATCACAGGTGAAAGTGACACAGCTAGACATGCTGTATACAGCGCTCCTATTTCAGCATATACCTTGTAATTGCGATCATTCGCGGTCGTCGTGATCAAAACAAACTCGCTTCCGGAAGTTTACAGCACGTATGGAAAACCATTCGAAAGTGACACATGAACAGATAACATAAGACTACTCACCACATGATCTCCGACATTTTGTGCGGTCTCAACTGAGCATATTAACGGCACGGTGTCGTCTAACGTCGTCTTCCCAGTGATCAGTGCCATTTTTGATGAGGGGGGCGTCGCAACTCACGTGTTATCTCGTAACATCTCGATTAGTGTTGAAAGTATGTCGCATAAATAATGGACTCTGTAGAAGCTTTTGGTCAGACTTTTACATAAAAATCGCTCATGTGTTTGATTAGGGTACCATTTATCTGAAATTAAAGCTGCATTAAGTCCAGGAAGTAGTTGTTTGGCGAAGGTTGACCTTTATCAGATCATGTGACTAGAAAACGAAAGTCAAAATGGCGGCACCCATCTGTTGTTAAGCATGTTAAGTAGCTTTGAACTATTTTAGAGCATATACCTGTTCTTGGTCTTGACAACACGCATGAACAAGCATATATCTTAGGTATATATCTGACTTACATTTCTGTAAGTATGGACGGCATGTGAAGATTGTGATTACATGTTTGTTACCTAAAATAAAAACACACAATGCAGGATGGTGGTAGAAAACGTACAGTGACCTATTATTGAAAACTTTGATTTCACCATGACGTACAAAATGTCCGTATTACTAATATTGAATTGGCCTTAATTACTGGAATAAATTATCAAGTGAAAATTTACGTATTCTGTTCGTGTAGCAGAATATGTCAATATTTAGTTAAATTTAGTCAAGCAAAGTCATAATTACATGCATGCAATGTCTTTATATATGGTTAGGCATACGTATACCTTTATGTGCACTGTGTATACACTTAGTAAATATAGATACTACAAGTATATGGGGGTCCTGTAATATTGCATTGTTTTCAGAAACCACAGATGTTTAAAAGAAAGATGAGTGTTCCATTTAGTATAGAGGAAATGAGAATCCCAGAGTTTCTGGAAAGGATATCTGCAGACTTGGATCGTTGCGTAGACTTCTGGCTTAAGCATTCTCATGATGAAGAATTCGGGTTTGTAAAAATGTTGACACAATTAATATTACTAGTACATGTTGTATAGATAATATTTTTGTCCACTTAGAGAATTTAAATAGTGCAATACATGTAATAATTAGACTTTAGTTGATCACATTATTTCATTGAAATTCAATGTATAATAATTATTTGAAAAATCTTTTTTTTTTTGGGGGGGGGTTCAAATTTGAAGTTTAATAAGGAACTTGCTGATATTTTTTTATTAGTGAAAAATCTGTGAAATAATTACTGGGGAACTATTTAAGACAAAATAAATGGTTATAATAGGACATTGCATAATACATAATTTTTCTTACTCCAGTCTTGAAGTAGAGCCTAATGCTACTAGTAAGTGAAATCTTCCTTAAAATTAGATTTGAAATTGGATAAAGATGATGTGATAATCAAGATTTGCTTGGCATAAGTTGGATGATTGTGCATTTTCTTGAAAAAAATTGCAAACATTTTGTTAAGAACATTAATATTATTACTTCAAATAGTATTGCAAAATTTTGTAAAGAATTGCAACAATATGACATGAATATTGAAAGAATTAATATAGTGATTAATGTTACTTTTATTCACCAAGAAGTAAAGTATAAGTTAAGTTGATATAGTACTTGTCATGAGAATTTAATTTTTTGTTTTTTTTTTCAGAATCATTGTTTTGCCATTTAATGATTTGAGATGTTACATATATATTATGTAATATGAAAGTTACCATATGCAGAAATTCTCGACTTCGATATTGCACTATTTTAGCCTTCTACAATGTGGATACTAAAGTATCTTGTGTTGTATTTGTAATTTTAGTGGATTCTTTGCTTGTCTGGGGAAGGATGGGAAGATTTATGATGACCTAAAATATGGCTGGCTGCAAGGGAGACAGGTAAATGAACAGATGATAAACCATAGATTCAGTTTTAAAAAAATGAAAATCATGGTATTTCAATATTTAATGCACATACATGCTTGATCCTGTTATTATGAAAATAAAACTTTTATAGTTTCTCCATAAATAGATGAAAAATTATATCATTCAACTTGCATGTCATTAACACCACATCAACACAATCTGTTTTTATTATAATAGTCTTTCTCAAACTTCAGGTCTGGACGTATGCTAAATTGTATAATGAAGTGGAGAGGTTCCATAGGCCAGAACTTCTCAGGGCTGCTGTGAAAGGTAAAGACAAACATCATCAGTGGTTTATTTTTACTGTTGTGCACAGTCCACCCATTTCTGCATATTTTCATTGAAAAAATATTTGACAGGATTCCAGTATTGAGATTCCTTCTATTATTTGTTTTAAGATTTGGTCATTGTTATGACTCTGTTTTTCTTTGATTATTACATTTTAAAAAAGATATAAAGACTCATAACATTTGCTGTTTTTTTTTATATTTACTTCTTTAATTTTCAAACATTTATTATTATTATTATTATTATTATTATTATTATTATTATTATTATTATTATTATTATTATTATTATTATCTTTTCTTCACAGGTGCAGATTTCATGATCAAGCACATAAAGGAACAGACCACTGGCAGATGTTATTTTGTGACCACTCGAGATGGAAAACCAATCAAACAGCAGAGGACTATCTTCACTGAGTGTTTCTATGTGATGGGAATGTTGGAGGTTGCCAAGGCAACCAAGCAGGAAAAATACAAGGTATCGGTACTAAGTCAGCAGAGCTATGGATACTGGTAGTTTATTTTCTCATATCTTTTTACACTTATGAAATATTCAACACATGTTCAACAGATGTGCAAGTATGCAATAGAAAATACTGGTGTTATAATGATTTTGAATGCATATTGTTTATTGCTAAACTGAATCAAGACATATTTTCAGTTTTAGTGCATTGCTGAGAAACACAGCATGTTCACTATACCCGGTAGATACAAGTTTAACATATAAGCATCAATAAAATGTGAACATGCACTTTTCAAGTTGGGAATTTTAATCCAAAAAAGGCTTTTTTGGCAAATGTTAGTATGCTCACCAATTAATTCTTTTTCACTGCAGCAAGAAGCACTGTCTGTGATGACCAAGATCATTCACTGGGTGAGAGTTGATGATTCTGAAATTGGAATCACAAAATTGGCTGGCGTCAAACCAACCAATAGCTTGGCAGTACCCATGATACTGCTGGGCTTAATTCATGAACTGACCAGTGGAGATGAGTCTCTTAACACAGCATATGAGGAACTAGAGAAGTGGTGTGTGCAGCAAGTGCTTTTTCATGTGCAGGTATAAAAGCAATGTACTGCCAAGGACACTACATGTATGCATTACTGTTTATAAAGATCATTTACATGTGATCTTTAAAGGGGAGGGGGGTATTCTATTTGAAAATCTGAATTTAAATTAAAAGTGACTAATAGCTGATGAATTGATGAACTTATATATGTAATTATTGGGAGATGACTTGGATTAATAAGATGGTTTATTCATCCAAGGAAAATAGAGTAGAATCTATGGATTTCTGCATTTTTTCACAAACAAACAAAAAAAGGTTTCAGGTTTCATCAAGTAGCAGTATCAATCACATTCATGAACATGCAGTCTCACACACACACACTTACACATACACTCCCACACACACACACACTATACAAAAATGGCTTGAATTCCTTGATTCGTCAGTCTTTGTATACCAGCCACTTCTATTCATCATATTTCAGAGAGAAGGCTCAGTAATACTGGAGAACGTGTCACCAGAAGGAACAGAAATGCCAGGCAGCCAAGGAAGGTTAATGAACCCTGGTAGGTGAAGACAAAGCAGATAAAACTTGATTGTTTGATAATTTCATCTTAGTGATGTCAGAGTTGATGGTTTATAGGGAGAGTTTGAAAAGAAAAAGTGAAGCTGAGGAAGATGAATTAATACTGTTAGAAGGTTTTTAATATTGCTATTGCCAGTGTCAAAAAGGGGAGATGTTTTTTTGTAAATTGATTCATATTTCCCTTTTAGGCCATGCCATTGAATGTGGGTGGTTTCTGCTTCAATATGCCATTAAAAAGGAGGACAGAAAATTGCAGGAGACAGCCATCGAGAAGTTCATCATAAACCCCTTCAACACAGGTTGGGACATGGAACACGAGGGCCTGTTCTACTTCCTGGATGTAGATGGACTCTCGCCCACCCAGCTTGAGTGGAACATGAAGCTGTGGTGGCCTCATAACGAGGCTATGATTGCATTTCTTATGGCGTATGACCAAACCCAGGACCAGGCTTATCTTGAGAAATTTGCTCAAGTTTATGACTACAGCATGAAACATGTAAACTGTTTTTTTTTTTTTTACGTTAATGATCAGTGTGATCAATAGAGCAGTCTTCAGTTAAGCTTTTAAAATGCATTGTATAAAGACTAATTTCTTCATGTGTTTCTACAATGACATCATTAGATATTCATACATGTAATTATGAAATTAAATCCTTTTTTTCTTATTTCAGTTTTCAGATGTGGAGAAGGGAGAGTGGTATGGATACCTGAACCAAGAGGGCCAAGTTAACATGGACTTCAAGGGAGGCCCCTTTAAAGGTGTGTGATGTGGTGGAATATGTCACAGCTGTATGTGAACTTTAGACCCCATTCCCAGAGATTATATCGATCCAAACTAGATCAACCTACGGAACTCCCTGGGGGTTCACCCTAAATAGCTGTTAGCCAAGCAGACATGAAAGTTAATTACCACCTTACAGCTTGTAGTTGGAGGGCGGACATTTAAGCCGGATTTTCGGACAGTAATCTAGTAAGACTCCCCGCGGGGATAGATCGATCTAAAAGCTCTGGGAATACGCCCTTAGACTCTCTGTACACTTCAGTCTACCAATTTGAAACCAAGTTCTCATGCCTGATAAAAAAAAAAAAAAAAAAAGTTTTATAATATTTTCATGAATTACAATCATAAATCATGTGATTGGCTGTCAAATGAACTTTTTCAAACATTCTTAATTTTCTTTTAATTATTTGATATTTAGTTCATTTGATGGTTTCTTCCTGATGTTTTCCCTCCCTTATAAACTTAAGCCCTAGTGCGAGACTCAAATATAATTCTATCTTTATCTTAGTTTTAAATTGAAACAGGTGAATCAGAATGCTCATTTTGATATA